CCCCAAAACCCCAAAACCCCAAAACCCCAAAACCCCAATTTCATACCTACACAGAAAATATAAAAATTTAAATAAAATGAAACTGAGAAGAAACGTACTGCGTAAACCCAGAATGCCCATATCCCTTAGTTCAGACCCTGGAGCTGCAGAGGAGAATTCAAGAAGGGTCATAGCCCAGCAATAAAAATAGCTAAGAGGATGGAAAAGGTTAATAGGTGAGTATAATAGTTAAATTGCTGGATTACTGTTCTTTGTTGGGGTTGAGGCATCGTTTTGGTATAGTAAAGCTATGAGAGATTTGTTTAAGGTGACGAAGGATAATAAGATTCTTGATCAAATTTTGAAGAAACAGCAGAGAAGGGGATACAGAACTTTTGCTGACCCGACCATTTGGAAGAGCAAAGAAGAAATTATTAGTGGGCAAGGCACTGTCAGTGTAAGTAAATTCCTAACAAATAGGCAACCAGGTATAATAATTATGAAGCAAAAATATTACCATGTAAACTCTTCAAGATAACTCATAGATGCATCAAGGAATAGTCGAAAAAGCCTAAATTCGAAAGCAAAAGGAATTAATCACATTGAATCTTCATCTAATGGCTCTAGCTCGAAGATGGCCAAGAGGTAAATTATGCATCAATAGAAATAGAATGACAACATGTGGTACTCATCACAAAGCCAAATCTATTCCTGCCAACAACGAGAATAAAGTAGTCAGGCTTAACCATAAGTCTCCAAAATTAAAAGAATTCTCTGAAGCAGAAGTAGGAAAGCACTGGAACAGATCTTCAGTAGGGAAAGTCAAGAATGATCTAAGTTTTATTGAAGAAAAGTCTAATGAGAAACCTGTTATCAAGGGTAGTTATATCAAAATCACCCGGAACAAATAAGAATAAAATAATAACGTCAAAGACTAATAAAATCGAACTGAATTCTAAGTTAGAAAAGGCATTGAATGAATTTGATGACTGTAAAGATCAGTATAACCAGCATCTGGACTCACCTTTAAAACCTCCAGAGGCGTTTAATACGATATATAGTCCTGAGAATAGGCTTAAAAGTGCACCTTATCAGCCTGGGAATACTTTTATGTCAACGCTTTATTCACCTAAAACAGCCAGCAATTTCAACCCGTTGTATAATAAAGGGCCTGGCTCTCCAATCCCGAATGATCATCAAGGGAATTTTGAGCTCACAATAGATGTGAATGGAGTCCCTCATTCTGTAAAAATGAATGGAACAGAAGCCACAGGTACTAATCGCCTTTATCTAATATGTGTAGACGAATCGAACGCTCATGCGAAGGAAGCTGCAGAGTTAAAAGAGAAGCTTTTTGTAAGCGAAATTCTTCTCAAATAAACTTTACTGACAAAACCAAGAATTGGTCGAAAAGACGAAGAAACAGCAAGAGAAAATTATGAAGATGGATAATGATTATCGAAACCTCCAGAAGCAACATTTGTTGTTGCAGCATAACATACAGAACAAAGTTATGGGTAGGTTCTCTTGGAACGGCTCTATAAAGTTATAGCAACGCGGAAATCTAATTTCTCGATAAACACTCTTGGTTTCAAAAGCCCAATACGAAGAAACAGCTTCGATAAGTTCATTGAAATGCAAGGAATCAACGATGAGGCTAACTCTTTCTGGAGTGAATTGAAGCAATCTACACAGCACTTATTTAACACTGAAAGCATGGATGAAGACCTTGAAAAGAAGATGAATAGTGTATTCCAATCACAGCGTTGAGATTCTCCTAATGGATACTTAATTGCACGAACAAGTGTCGACAAGGGAGAGAGGCTAATTAAATATTGAATTGGTTAATTTCAATAGATTTAGGTTCAAAAGGGGTTTTGGGGTTTTGGGGTTTTGGGGTTTTGGGGTTTTGGGGTTTTGGGGTTTTGGGG